CCTTCCTGTCTCTCTCTGGAGAGCACACACACCCTATGGCAAAAAAATAAAAAAAAAAAAAAGAATTGAATCTTATCGTACCTTAAAATATAAATAAAATAAACTTCTCTCAACTGCATTGGCTGTGTCTCTCATTTGTATATTTTTTATTATTAAAAATACATGATAATTTAATCAAATAATATATATAAATACTTTTCATGACATTCATTTATTTATTTTTATTTCTATTCTACTTTTAATCAGCAAATATTTGAGCGGAACATGCAATTATCTTCTTTCAAGAGTAAAGAAAAAGAAAAGTGGTTATTTTTCACTGTAGTTAATCAAAATATGCCACAATTTCAGTGTATTAAGAGTTTCTGTCTCAGGGACCAGCAGATGGCATAATGGCTATGTCGCTGAACTCCCACGTGGTCGACCATGATTCGAGTCCCAGACCTGGTGACCTGGACTCACGCCAGGCATGTGTGCATGCGTGCCCAAGATCCCGAGGGGAGAATGAAGGAGAGGGGATTGCAGCGTGGCCGTTCCCCTGGGAGGTGATTTCTTGCTTTCTTTCTCTCTGTCTCTGTGTCTCTCTGTCTCTCTCTGTCTTTACAGCAAGCACACGTGCCCTAGAGAAAAAAAAAAAAGAGTTTCTGTCTCAGGACTTCCTTATCTTCGACCAACTTTTCTTACCAGATCAAAAGACAAAGTAGTTTATGGGTTTGATTTTATTTATTTGCTTTTGGTTTTTAAAATGCTGAACTCATTATCCAAGATGTAGAAATTTTAATGGTATACTAAATTAATTAACAGAAAACAGATTTGATTTTCCTTTAAAAATTTCATCAGGTCCACAATTATGAGTATGATTATCTCATTCTCTTGTTGTTATTGGCAAGTTTAAGAGATAAAGTTCAGGACAAGTGAGCAATATCTTCCCCACCCAGAATATATTCTTAAAATAGAAATACACATTTTATTTCTCTTATGGCAACAAATCCCATTCATTGATAACTACACAAGGCCATAAAGAGTAGTCACATGGTGTCTTGTTTAAATAGACTTTGCTTTAAGTTAAATCAATACTGTCTTTCATTGCATAACTTCATGTGGGTGACATATGCAATTCACCAAAATTTTGATTGCTTCAACATTTTTAATTGTGTGTATATTAGAAAGATATATGTATGTATTTGTTAGGCTTCATAAATCTCTCTATGCAAAAGTTATTGTTGGAATATCTATACTCACATATAATAGAAGAAATGCCTTAGTAATAATCTGAGTCAGAGGGTAGAGGTTGATCTGTTAGGGCCTCTCTCTACAAATATCAAGTACTTGTGCCTAATGACTAATTAGTCCCTCATGAATTTCACATTTTTCCTAATAGTCTTCAAAATGATAAAGTGTCATTTTTGTTTACAACATGAATTTAATTTGCCTGGATGAATGTCCTGTTCATGTGATTAGCGTTTACGACTCCAGGCATCTTTACTCATTTATATCTTCTTAAAGATTAACTATTCTTTAAAAGCTACTTGATGTGTAGAATAGTGTTGCTAATGGGACATACAGCTCATTTCCACTGACTAGTACAGTGCAGATTTAGGCTGTTGCACAGCGTTATAAATCTTTCAAAATTTGAGAAATTTTGCTCTTTGCTTGATGCAGTTCTTAAATTAGCAAACCTTTGAAAACCAAAAATGGGGTCAAAAAGAAGTGTGTCTTCAAGGCATCAGTCTCTCAGCTCTTATGAAATCCTGTTTGCTGCTCTTTTTGCCATCTTGGTAGTGTTCTGTGCTGGATTAATTGCAGTGTCCTGGCTGGCAATCGAAAGGTCAGAAAGTGGTAAGTGACGCGGAGTTGCTCCCGAGCGTGTTCTTGGATGAACACACATGCTTTCCTCTCAATTATCCTATTACTGTATGTGACTTCATGACAACGTAGTTACGTTGTACTCAGGTGCTTCTCTGTAGTTTACTTAACAGTGTTTTGAAAACTTTGTGTGTGATTTGAAACTAAATACTAAATTCAAAATTCAAAAATGTGAATTTTTATGAAATTAAAGAAGTGTTCTCAGTTGTAACATATAGCAAAATAGTTGAAGTAGCATAGTCCATGGGTTTAAAATTTAAAATTCAAATAGAATTTATTCACAAACATATAATTTTGTTGATTACATAAGTAGAGAAATACACAAAGTTAGCAAAAATGTATGTTTTATATCTACCAAATGATATCTTTATTCTCTTACTAGGCTAACAATTTTAATTGCAAAAATATAAAAAACTTGGATATAAATATAAAGATCTCAAACTGACGAGTAACTTGTTATAAACTAAACAAAATAAGAAACAGTAACTCTAACTTAGAGGTGACTTAGTCTGTATCAATAGTTCCTCAGAGACCTTCAAATATCTTCCTACAGTAAACTTATGAATTATTATTGATATTTTAATTTTATACGTGAGAGAGCTGAAACAAAGATGTCTGTTACTTAAGTTTGTATCATTAGTAGATACCAGAAGTGAAATTCCAAACAAGAGAATACAAGTCTACAAAGTGTTATTTATAGTCTATTATTTATAAGGCAAATTTAAAAAGATCATTGGAAGCATAGAAATAACCTAAGTGTTAATAGGCTTTATTTTAGAAAATTTTTACAATCTTTAAATTAATTGCACATTGGCCTTATTAATTACTTCTGAAAACTCACAGAGTAGGACCTTCTACATGTAGGTGATTTAAGTTTTAACTAGAAAATTATCAACTTCAAGTTAGCTATATTTTACTAGTAAATACATAAGTTTTTTGTTTTTCTTTTAGTTTGCCACAGGGAAAATGCACATACTGGACAGAGAGAGCAAAAGCATCTCTTACTCTCCCATCCTCTTTTCAGGATTTTGGGCACCCAAGCACATGTGCCCAACATTTTTTCAAGTTATCAGGTCTGAGACTCAAACCACACAGTTGACCATGTGGGATTCAGCTGCCTTAACCACCAAGCCACCAGCTGACCCATAAATAAATAAGCTTAAATTAGGTTGCAATAAGCATATTTTATATTTTTGTAGAATAACTACTCCATAATATTTGGTTTACTACAATATTATAGTCACATACATGAAATGCATTTTCATGTGAAATAGCATCTGTGATTATTTTATGTTAATGTAAACAGACAAGCCAGCAAACAAAAACCAGAGAGATTTGTCTAAAGTTTTGAAAAAGTTGCTGCTTTAGTTTTATTTAAATGCTGTGAATAACTTCAAGGATGTGTAATCATTTAGAAGTCCATTAGAATCATCAGTCCTCATTAGAGATACAAACGTTAGTTATTTTGAAAGCAAAATAGAAAATCAATATTTGTAAATATAATTTAGTGATAAACAACTAGATATAAAATGGTGTGAGAGGTAAATATATACTGGAACTTTAGAGGAAATGACTTAAAACTTGTAATATACATTTTTTTTTGTAATATACATTTTTTTACTTCTTTTATTTAAAATAATTTTAGACTTACAAGAAAGTTGCAAAAATTATAGAGTTCTTCCATATCCCAGCCTCCTCTGGTTATTATCTTGTATATTTTTGGTACAATTGTTACAACCAAGAAATTAGTACTTACATGATGCTATTACCTGAACTACAGATGTTATCCAAATTTCACCAGTTTTTTCTCTAATGTCCTTTACATATTCATATTCCAATGCAGATTCCTATGTAGAATTTAATTATTGTGTTTCTTTTAATTTATGATAGTTCTTTACTTTTTCTTTCTCTCCTACATTGAACCTGCAAATCTCAGTGTAATTTTAAATATTTTTAAAAAGCAAAATAGCATAATAATGTTACATCAACTATGATATAACAACTATTAAGATTATGTCAGTTTATTGTTTGAATCTTTAAAAATATCATAGTACAGGAAGCCCTATTCCATGAAATGGTTAGATCCATTTTCAAAAGCTCATAGAGACACAGTAGCAGAGACTGGCCCTTCTAAGGTTTTTGCTGATTGTCATTGTCTAAAAAATAATTTCTTTTTTTTTTTAAGATGTTTTGCCTTACAGTGCATGCATGCATTCACCAGACAGAGACAGAGATAATGAGAGGAAAGCTAAAAATTCACTCTTCTAGGGGATGACCAAGCCACAGTCCCTACTCCTCCGAGAATTTTGGGCACGCACAGACACATGCCTGGCGCAATTTTGAAACTACCATGTCCAGGACTCAATGCAAGATCAGCCATGTGCACATCCAGCAAAATAACTGCTGTACCATCTGCTGACTCACACTTGAAAAATAATTTCTGATATTCTGCTAGACCGGAATGTTTGATGTCAATGTATGATAGTTACTGAGTCTTAAAATCAGTCACATAGGGACCAGCAGTTCGCATAATGGCTATGTCACTGGACTCCCATGTAGTCAACTGTGGTTTGAGACCCAGACCTGGTGGCTTAAACTCACGCCGGGCATGTGTGCGTGCATACCCACGATCCCGAGAGGAGAATGGAGAAGGGATTGAGGCGTGACCACCCCCCTGGAGGGTGATTTCTCACTGCCTCTCTTTCTGGCGAGCACATGCACCCTATAGGAAAATAAATAAATAAATAAAAATAAACTCTCTCCCCCCAAAAAAATCAGTCACATAAATATCCAAATTCCAGATCTGTCATTTAAGACTTTTAGTACCTTGAGAAATGCTCATAGTCCTTTTAAGTCCCAATTTCCCCATCTTATAAAAGAAGTAGCATCTCACAATAGGTCACTATGGATCATCATTATTATTTTTTATTAATAATTTTATCATTGTGTGAGTTTCAGTTATTGATTTGCTTTAAATATAACTATATACAAAAGAAAATATTCTGATAAAGGGATTGATTATCCAGGACTTTATGGCACATTTTATTACCCATTTTTATATTTCATTTGTTAGCCATTCACTTATGTAATTTTCCTATTGCTATAAAATATATTCCATAATGTTCTTAATACTTTTTAAAATAAGGACAGCCAGCATTTAATAGCAAAAGGTCATATATGCAATTTTATAATAATTAGAATGAAAGAACTAGCTTCAAACCTTTGATTCAAAGTAACACAAACACTGAAATCCTCACAGCAATCCACATGTGGGAAACCAGCAGTATGTCTGGATGCTCAGTGTTCAAGAAGTAACAGAAAGCAACTACAGAACTTTTAATGGTTCCCTTCTCACCATGTTTCCTTGACTCGGGATAATTGGTGAAAACTGACCAGTTCCTAAATCTTCCAAGGAATCTTAATAATAATAGTAATAATATTAATAAAAAATTTGGAAATTTAGAGTATGAGTCAGACTTCAAAAAAAGAAAAAAAATTAATAGAATGGAAAAAATTATTTTTGAATCTTTCAGTACAATCAGACAACTTCTTAAAAAATTAGCTGATTTTGAAACATGAAGACTGCAAAGAAAAAGCAAGAACTGCAGGGTCAACACATCAAGAAAGAACTTTATTTCTGTGCTTTATTCAAAAATGTACTGATTCTCTCCTATTTATATTTACATTTCCACTGTTTTATTTCTTAATTGTTTACATAGACCCAGTATCTGGAAAAAGTCATGAAGTCAGAGGAACATTTAAAATAACATCTGGAGCTACATATAATCCTAATTTGGAAGACAAACTCTCGGTGGATTTCAAAGTTCTTGCTTTCGACCTTCAGCAAATGGTAGGATCCTATCTCCCTTCAGCTGATTTTAAATTCCATAAGAAAGTTTCACTAAGTCCTTGCCAAAGGATGCATAAATCCCAATTTCTCACTGTGAAAAGATTAGTAAGTAAATATAATGTACCCAAGTTACTTAACTGTATGAGCAGCATCACCATGGAAAAAATTGTTCCAGTTCTAACTAGAACAAAAGCTTACTTACTTCGTATAAATTTTTTGTTTTTGTTTTTGTAATTGCCAAAGTGTGCATTCATTGTACTGTCCAGAGAGACAAGAGACAGAGAGGTGGAGAGGGAAAGGGAGAAAGCACCCCCAATGGGACATGGTCATGCCTCAATCTCTTCTCCTCTATTTCTACAATCCATTAGGATTTGAGGCATTTATATACACATATATCCCCTGTTTTTCAAGCCACCAGGGCCAGTAATCAAACTGCAGTAGATCATGGAGGATCTGGCTCCTTTAAGTGCTAGACCACAGAGTTGACCTGTATAACTTTTTGAACAAAAGTTAAAATATTAAATTTAATATACTTTTCAACCTTTTTTTTTCTTGTTTAGTTAGATGAAATATTTCAATCAAGTAACCTGAAGAATGAATACAGAAACTCAAGAGTTTTAAGATTTCAGTAAGTACAGATCAAATATTTTCTGCTAGTAGATAACACAAAAATCACAAATTAATGATTTTTTTTGCTAATGTTTGTAAAATACTGTCACTCTATGTAGGAAAAGGAGAAGTACTTAAAATGCTCAAAATTTTGTGAATATTTAGAAAAGTGACATAGCATACATTTTCATTTTAGAGGTAAATAATGATAGTAATAATTTCTGATAATTGGTTTTATATTTTATGGTTCTTTCTTCTAAGAGTACATCTTGTAGAGACATGTGGAGGGGTCTGCAGTTGAATGTACACAGATGCAGATATAAGTGTGTTATTTGCTATTTGTTTATTATCAATTAATATGGTGTAACCTAGCTTTATTTCTGTTACAAATCACAAGAGAGGGGACTTGTTGACTGTTGCACTAAGAGGGCAATAGACTAACACTGGAGCAAAGTAAGTGCTCAACAAATTAATCTTAGAATAACAGTGTAATTTCTCTATCCCTCTATGGATACTTGAATTTAGAATAAACACACACACACACACACACACACACATTAGTATCATTATTAAAATATTTGACATAAAATCTACCCTATAACAACTAATTCTGGTTTTTTTTTTACAAAGGAAATTGATCCTTACAAAATTGTTGCTATTGTGTTTATGGAAGAGTTGGGGTCTTCTTATTCTACTATTTTGCTCACAGTACTATGTATCTAGAGTATTCTAAACTAGGAAATACCAGAAGTCCTTTGGAATAGAGACACAAATCAACAGGAACATTAAGAAAGAAAATTGCAAAGCTGCTTAGACTCCATAAAATTATAATAGAAAAAATAAGAGTATCACATTAAACATTTTTTAAAAATAGAAGAATAAAAGTCTAAAAACTTGGTTTATCTAAATAGAGAAAAGAGAGAAAAGCAAATGAAGACTTCAAAATAATTCAGAATAAGAAAACTTGTGAAGAAAAGACAACATCCTAGAAACCTAGGGAAAATGCAGATCTGTTACATAAGCTGGCCAAATGGAGACTCAGTGAATGAGTTTCTATTTCTGGCCAAGCATTTTGTGATTTAGGAAAAATACACTATCTAATCCACTTGCCACAAAACAACTGTGAGGGAGATGTAATTATTCCATTTTATAAGTAGGACGCCAAGGCTTTGTGATATGAAGAAACTTGCCGTAAATCACACTAGTAAGTGTTGGAGGATGCATTTGAATGGAATTTTGTTTTAATTTCTATTTCAGAGTATGTCTCCTTCCTTATCAGGTTGTTACTATAGCAGAGGCCAAAAAGTACTGCAGCTTGTTATAGAGATAGTGGATTTGCTTTTTACCCTAAGTAGATGAGTGGATTCGAGAGGCAATGGAAAGGAAACTTCCATAACATAGAAATAAAAAGGATGGCAATGAACCTGGGTCATTAGAGAGACTACACAACGACAGCCAAGATGATCATCGAGGAGCCTGACATATTCCTATTAAAAACCTAAGTAAACTAGACCTAGGGCAACTAGGAAGAGAGTTACAGCTATCTTCACATATTCTTAATCATAAAGGTAAATACGTTTTTATTGTGCCAGTGCCCTGCAATTAAAGGTAGTTATCATGGTCAAGGGAATATGGACAATGAGAATGTCACAAGCCCAGTATCAAATGAAAGCACACTGTGCTCAGAGCAGAAATCAACCACCTCTTGATGGGTTTTCAGACACTGCTATTTATAATAATTGAACATTCATTAGTTTTACTTTTATTCATGTTTTACTATCTGCCAGTGCCTAAAAATGATACATTTTCCTTGTTTTTATGAGCTTGCAGTCTAGTAGAAATTATCACAATTTTCTTGTCTACACTGTGAATAACCAATTAGATGAATAATTAAGCACTGTAAAACCACTGAATCCCCAGCTTCAATGATGTTGGAGTAGTGCAATGCTCTACAATGCTTGAAGCCATATGGGAGATGAGAGTTCAGTTCTCAGGTTGGCCTGTACATGCCAGGCATGCATGCATGTGTCCATGATCCTGGCTGGCTGGAAAGGCTTGGGGGAAGATTAGGGTGGAAGACCCTGCTCAGGCTGCTTCTCTCTCTTTCTCTGTCTTTCTCATAACAAAAACTAAATAAACTAAAAAAAAAAAAAAACCTGAAAAACCTCATATATATTTTTCTCTTGAAAAATTATGATTTTTTTAAAAAGTTAAGCATTTTCAGTTCAATTTTGAAAGGAAAGTGGCAAATATATGTGAGCTGATGCAATTGCTGGTATGCTAAATAGTTTAGTATCACTACAAACTGAAGTGTCAGTATTAACCAGAATATCACCAAGTACTTCTTCACTTATTCTTCTATGTATTATTACTACTGTTTATTTTTTTAATTTCTTATCTACTCCTCACTAGATGTTGATGGGTTTTTAAATAATCAACCCATGATATATTATCAATCTGTGGTTCAGGGAGACCAGGTCATTTTTCCAGGGTCATGCTTCTAATACTAATGTCTGCCTGTCTAAAACTATCATACTTTTTTTTTTTTTATAAAATGTTATACTATTTTTTGTTTATAAGCTTACTCAAGACCTAGAAATGAGCAATGAAAGTTGGGTCAAAAGAGTCACATATACAAGCATTGTCGAATTAGTGTCTCCTGGTGACTACTGTCTCCCTGTGGATGAATGATTGTGTACATTTCCTGAACCGCCTAAGGCCTTTTTGCATGTAACTTTCTTTCTTTCACCTTTACTTTTCCTTGTTCTCTGCTCTCATTTTTAACCTTGTATAGAGTAAATACTCCATGGAAAAATTCTTGGGAGTTTTTACCCTTATCCTAGGCAAACAAAGCAAAACAAAACAAAACAAAACCACTATTTTTTCAATTCCCCCCCCATTTTAAATGGCTAAATGTGTGTGATTTTTCTCCATATCATCAGTGATTGTTGGAGTTAGCATACAGAAGAATGATCAATCACAGTGGAATAAGTTAAATGGATTGAGAGGTAGCCTTTGTTAAAAACCCATTACTGGAGACAGGCAGGTGGCAAGGTAGTTAGGCACTGGACTTCCACATGGCTGACCTTGTTTGGAATCTTAAACCTGGAAACTTGAGGATCACACCAGGTGCATGTGTGTGTGTGTGACCAAAATCCCAAGAAGAAAATGGAGGAGAAGGGACTGAAGCGTGGCCATTCTCCCAGGGTGATTTCACATTTCCCCCTCACTGTCTCTCTCTGGAGAGCATCCACACCCTATTGCAAAAACACCAACAAAATAAATAAATAAAAGTAGCTAGCGGGTGACATGGCCCTGGACACCCAAATGGATGACCACAGTTTGAGCCCTGGACCCAGTGGCTTGAAAATCATGCCAAGCACATGCACATGCCTTCCTAAAATCCCAGGAAACTGAAGAAGAGACTCCACCATGGCCATATCTCTGGGGGGTCATTTCTCACTTTACCTCTCTCTGTCTCTCTTTGGCAAGCACATGATCCCTACATTAAAAATCTAAAAAACAAAAAACAAACAAACAAAAAAAAACACCACTAGATTTGAGTTATAATGGTCTCTTAAGAAATCTTGAAGGAACTTTTCTAACATAAAGATTATAATACTACTTGAATTGAGGTACATTGAATATTTTTTCATAATAATATCGTTATAGTTTTTGCAAAAGCTAGAGACAGGGAAGGTGAAGATGAGGTACAAAGCCTGCAGTGACTCTGAACAGTCTATATACTCATAGACATAACCAAAACATGAAAAAATCTGTGCAGGTACGTGTATCTGTGTATGAGAATGCCATAGATAAAGATTTAAAGTCTGTGTTTTTTTTAATTAAAAATATTATCATCTCGTCTTTCTTTTACCACCAGCAAGTAACACATTATTGTCACATTTGTTTCATATGAAGTTTTTAAAATTCACCTCTTCAAATATGATGTGATGGAAACTAAGTTATCATGTAGTTCCATAATCTCTAGAAAACAACATTTCTTATATCTCCTGAAACTGATCTTCAGCCTAATCAGGGAAAATAGCTCTAAAATTCTGTGAAGGTTACAGCATGCTTTGAAAGAAAACATAGAATATCAAGTTAAAACTATTTTTAAGGATTATTTTATTTAACTTTATTTATTATTATTATCATTATTATTTTTCAGTTTGATCAGAGAGAGACAGAGAGAGAGAGGGAGTGAGAAAGTCAGTCACCAGGTCCGAGACTTGAACCATGGTCGGCCATGTGGGAGTCCAGTACCTTTAACCACCACGCCACTTGCCCGCCCCAAGTTAAAACTATTTTGCAGTATAATATAAGTAGACCAAAAAAAAAAAAAAAAAAAATCAAATCTTGTTCAGTTTGCACAAGTAGGAAGCAAAACTGTCACAAAAAGGAGAGTAAAGGCAGGTAGTTCAGGGGCCAAGTGGTGGTGCAGCGGTAGTGCAACTGTACCCACGTGGGAAAGGTCCTGAAATCCCATCCTAGGACATCCCTAAGCAGGCCAAAATGGTGCATGTGCTTGTTATCTAGGCTGATTGAGGAGGTGAATCATCTTATGAAGACTTTTTTTGGAAGTACCTGTATGTTGGTCTCTCTCATGTAAGAAATAAGTAAACTTAAAAAAAAAAAGATTATTCAAAAATATAAGCAAAATAGTTCTAGAAAATCAAAGCAATTGCTTCTGTCTTCTCAACATAGTGTTAAATAAATGTTCATTCACTCATCCATTCATTCTCTCATTTATTTATTCAACACACATATATAGTGCTTACTCAGAACTAGCTGATTGCTAGGTTCTTAGAATATAGATATTAAGAGAGAACCTTATTAAGGAGCTCATTTAACCACCATCACTAAGACATTTTCTCTTATGTTGATATATTTAGAACTTTCTTTTCTTTCTCTGTCTCTCTCACTTTTTACCTCTCTTTATTTTTTTCTTGATAGGCTATAACTTTTTTTAATTGCCCATACACAAAGAATGATGAATAGACAACATAATAGTCATTA